TCCCATTTGACGATGGTCTCCACATCCTCGTCCTTCCCATTTGACGATGGTCTCCACATCCTCGTCCTTCCCATTTGACGATGGTCTCCACATCCAGCAAATCATGATTCACTAATCACAGCTTTCTCCCATCAAAGTTTCCTGTGAGTCACAGATGCCCTCAATTTCTTCACTGGCAACTACTCAAAGTTCAGTCACCTGTGTGTAGTGTTTTTATCAAATAATAATAATGTGGCTTGAGTTCTAAGGATTTGTATATGCTATATCCACACAGCAAAGTTCACATGACCTGCAGTCTTCCAGCCTTCCTGATGCTCTCATTGTTACCTGGGGTTTCCCTTCTGATCCTTGGCTGTGGACAGCAAGTGTTATGTTAACGTCTGCAGCCTTCAGAGGGCAGAGGGGCAGACACTCCAGCTTTTCTTCCTCCTCCAACAGACTCAACACCAGAAGCTTTTTTTTTTTCATATCTACTATATGTTAATTTTTTTAACTATTAACATTTAGAAAAAAGAAAAAGAACTAGAGAAGAAGATGGAGCAGCTTGGGAGGTAAGAGGTAAAGTACAATTGGATTGAAGCCAATGAACTGGTATTGACCAGCCAGGAGGCTGTGGGGATGGCCAGTCAGGGCACATCCGGCGTCTTCCATGAGATCAGGGTGGGTCAAATCTGTGGAGGGGAGCAGCCAGTCAGGACATGTCTGCTGTCTTCTGTGAGATCAGGGTGGGTCAGATCTGTGGGGATGGCCAGTCAGTCACGTGCACAGTCCTCTGTGAGATCAGGGTGGGTCAGATCTGTGGAGGGAACAGCCAGTCGTGGGGTGGGAAGACCTGGACCACACACACAGGGCTCCCAGGGCAGGGGGACGGTTCCCGTAGGTTTATTTATAAGCAACATCTATACTGCCACGTGGGTGGCTGTTTTTATGGTGTATTTGGATATGAATTCAACTGATGTTCTCTGAATTAACAAAATGATACCCTCAGATCTGACTCTGAAGGCTGGAAGTCTGTCTCTTTGTTCCTGGGCTCTGCCAGTTTCTTTCCTCTGGCTAAGAACGGATTCCGCGGCTCCTCTGTTGGGTGGATCAGCTCCCGGGGAGGGTTCTGA